AAAAGTGACAGGTAACTTATGGACCACCGTGTATAACCGTTACACATAATAGGGAAACTAGTCTTATTAGGACTTTATGATTATGTTACCAATTGAAGTATGATCAAACAGCATAGAAAGAAAGAGCATTTTTTTCTCTATCATCATCTTATATAAAAAGAAACTTTTATCAAGCTTACTACGCGGTACTAAAATGTCGTTGCCACTACTTTTGGATATCCCTAAGTAATAAATTTGATTACTTTATAATATTTATTTGCTGAATAAATGAAATAATTTTTTTAATCGATGGCACATAAAATAAAATATCTTTCTAATGCTAATGAACTTTTCAAAAGGATGGAAGACTTGTTTATCATTATTGTTAATCAGTAAGATTGAAATTATCACAATGCTTGTGAAATTTGATATCTATATGACTGTCTTGAGCACTTTTTCTATTTTTAATAGGCCATATTTTGATAATTTCATTTTCAATTTTTACTTTTACAGCTTATTGGTATAAAGAAAATGACATTTTTCTTCTTTGTGGTAATGAAAGTGGAAGTACAAAATGTCCTCCAGGTTATGTTTGTTGGAAAGATCGAGGCAAAAAGTAAGTTTTTTTTTTTGTTTTTAATCATTAATTTAAGAAAATTTTATTATTTTGTAGTCCTGATTTTGGATATACAAGGTAGATTTGATTTACTTTTGTTTTCATATTTAATTTCTATTTTTACAGTTTTGATAATTACGGTTGGGCTATGCTTGCGTGTTTTCGATTAATGACACAAGATTATTGGGAAAATCTTTATCAATTAGTAAAAGAAAAACGAATTCTATAACCTATTATTATTATTATTATTATGTTCTAATCTAGATACTGTCAGCAGTTGGTCGTTATCATTTTTTATATTTTGTTGCTGTTATATTTTTTGGTTCATATTATTTGCTTAATTTAATCTTAGCTATTGTCTTCATGTCTTATCAACAACAACAAAAACAAGTTGAAATTGAAAATGAAGAACGTGAAAGACGTAAAACTCGAGATAAACTTGAAATACAAAATGAAGAAATACGAAAAACATCTGAAATTCAGGCACTTTCACATGTTGAAAATGCACAATGTTTTGAAGATTTAAATCGTAAAATTTCATCTCACGAAAGTGTTTCTATTGAATATGAACAAAATGGAAAAGTAAATAATTTGAAAAAAATGTTTTTTAAAATAAAGTAAAATTTTTAGAAAAATGAATTAAATAAATCAAGTTTAATTTTGTCTGATGCTACAATAATGCCATTTATTGACGAAACACAACAAAATTCACCAAATGAAGATAGAAAAAGTCAACGAACAAATAGTGATTCTTATTTATCAGAACGAAATCAAAATGATAATGATACAACTATTACAGTAAAAAGAAAATAAATTTTAATCCTTTTTTGTTTTTTAAATTTATCTTAAAGCTTTATCAAGACAGATCTCATACAAAATATACTCCAATTACTGAAGTATTACCTGCACAAGAATTGGATAGAATAAGTGTCCGATCAAAAAGTGAGTCATATTGTAAGATCGATTCATTTTTCCATGTCTTGTTTAACAAAATTTTTCTTTTTTCCTCCTTTGACTTTCAATTCTCACTCTGTAAATCAACAGCAGAACAACACACCTATGATTTTTATTATTTGTTATTTATGCATGTCTATAATATACATGAACATGAACGATAATTATAGTATCATTATAAAAGACATATGAACATTATCATTTTAGATATGGATACAACTAACATATGTAACCGAGCATTAGTTAAACTTCTACGAATTTATTGTTGGGAATGGAGTTGTGAATCGTCCATATTTCGAAAATTTCAAGTACGTTTTTATTAAATTATAATGTCTCAGCTTGAAAGCATAGAAACCAGTGTCCGACTCGGGTCGGATCGAGTCGCGAAAAAACATACTTGACCTCGGGTCAGGTCGGGTCGAGTCGGGTCACAAAAAAAGTGACCCATGTCGGACACTGATAGAAACATATGAGAATGTTTCTCACTCGATGGTTTACGTCAAAAGCGAAGGACAAGACCTAAATAGTTTCATCAATAGGAATATAAAGTACTCCGAGATTGATTTGTACATAACAATTTTGTTATCAAATATTAATACGAGATACTTAAGTCTTACGATAGAACTCCTCCAACTGATTTTTTAATTCAATAATGTGACCACTTCAGAAAAACCAGAGAACTCTATTTTCGAATTTTGACTTAAAACTTTGCATAGAGATATGACTTAGCAAGAATAGTTTATTGTGAAAGTTTCAGATCTTTTCGTTGCTTCTATCATGAGATATGGCTATGATAAAAACTTGTTTGTAACATTGCTGATATGTACACTAATGGATTCAATGTTCTTATTCTCTAGCATAGGAGCCAATCAGAATAGGGGTGAGAAAGTTATTGTTATTTTTTTTTGTTATTATAACAATAACATTCACTTTTTGATTCAAAAACATTAATAAAACAAGTGTAAGCATAGTTTGCGCGTACGTCAAAAAATTACTTTATTCATACAGTATCTTTATTACCATTTGATATAAGAACTAGTCGTAAATATTTTGAGAAATCCTAAAATAATTTTTTTTGTTATTGTTATTGTTATTGTTATTATTATTGTTATTATTGTATAACAATAACAAAAAAAGTTATTTAACGATTTCTCAAAGTATTTACGAGTGGTTCTTATATCAAATGGTAATAAAGATACTGTATGAATAAAGTGATTTTTTGACGTACGCACAACCTATGCTTACACTTGTTTCATTAATGTTTTTGAATCAAAAAGTGAATGTTATTGTTATAATAACAAAAAAAAAATAACAATAACTTTCTCACCCCTAAATCAGAAGACCTAAAACTTTCACAATAGATCACTCTCATTAAGGTCTATCTTATAAATACTGCCTCCTATTTACAACAAACTCATAAAATAGTCATATATCTGTTTTTTAAAGGATGCTGTTGCTTTTTTTATATTGGATGCATTTGTTGATTTATTTATTACAATATGTATTATATTAAATACATTGTTTATGGCACTTGATCAACCGGGTCAGAGTGAAAAAATGACACGAATTTTAACAGCAGGCAATTATATTTTTACAAGCATCTTTGTAGTTGAATCTATACTAAAAATAATTGCATTGACACCAGTTAAATTTTTAAAAAATGGATGGAATGTATTTGATTTATTAATTATTACAGGTAGTCTTATTGAATTATGTATTGCTAATCTAAAAGGTTTAAGTGTTTTACGTGCATTTCGATTAGTAAGTAATTGCAATAGAATTCTTGATTTTTCTTTTAATATTCTGTTAAGTTACGTGTATTTAAATTGGCTAAATCTTGGCAAACATTGAATCGTCTTCTATCAATTATTGGTATATCAATAGGAGCTTTAGGAAATTTAACATTGGTTCTTATTATTATAATATTTATGTTTGCTGTTATGGGAATGCAGGTAAATTGAATAAAAGTTTTGAATAAATTTATTCTTAGTGATTTATAGTTATTTGGTCATAAATATGCAGATAAATTTGGTAAAGATATGCCAAGATGGAATTTTTTTGATTTTTTTCATGCATTCATGTAAATTTTATTTAATAAGTTTATATAAAGAAAAAAAAATTAGTTCTTTTTTTTCAAGGATTGTTTTTCGTGTCTTATGTGGTGAATGGATTGAATCAATGTGGATATGTCTTGAATGTGCTGGATGGCCATGTATTCCATTTTTTCTATTGACATTTGTCGTTGGTAATCTTGTGGTATGTAATGTATTTCTTTTCAACAAACAGAGAATGTCTTACGAGAGAAGGTCCCCCAACTTACGGACACCGTTCGACTCCATATTATAACTACGAGGTAGGTCTCTATGAGATTAAGAAAAGCCTAAAAAGATTCGTGCCCTTGGCATATTGATGAAGAGTTATAGCCGTTTTACTGAAATTCGGTCCTGTGGTAGGGAATTTCCGAAAAGATTGAATGAAAGAATTTCGACCTGAAATTTTGCCCATAGATAGATCTAATGATCATTAGAATTGCCTGAAAGTTTCGGCCAAAACGAATGTTCCTTTCTCGAGATATTGAATTGTCAAATAAACTCGGTTTTTATAACCTGTCTGTGGAAAGTGACTTTGACCTATCCATGGGCCAAATTTCAGTAAAACGGCTATAACTCTTCATCAATATACCAAGGGCACGAATCCTTTTAGATTTCTCTTAGTCTCATAGAGATCTACCTTGTAGTCGTAATATGGATGGAGTCGAACGATGTCCGTAAGTTGGGGACCTTCTCTCGTTAGTCTTTTTTTTTTTCTTTATTAAATAGAATCATTATAACTGAGAAATCACTTTAAAGGTATTCTATTTAAATTTCGATGTTATCTTTCTGTAACGTAGCCTTTACGAGTTCAGTTTTAAAAAAAAAGCTGTTAGCGCAATCCCTGTAAAACACCGAAAATTTCGTCAATCGGACTTTCATCAATTGAAAGTAGTTCTATGAAGAAAATGTGTAGTGAAGTACTTATAGGATACGTTCTAATTTTGCTAATATTTATAGATATTAAATTTATTTTTGGCACTTTTACTTGCATCATTTGATTCAAATAATTTAACTGAAAAAGAAGATGATGAAAATAAAATTGGTGAAGCAATTGATCGTATTAAACGATTTATTTATTTTCTAATTGAATTTATGTTTCATTTATTTTGTCGAAAAAAACAACGACAAAAAAAGATTTCTATCGAAAATAATATCCATGAATTTGTAACTGATAATCAAGTTTGTTCAATCATTTATTAATTTATTATTCGATTTGATTTTATGATCTTTCTTTAGTCACCTTCTGCTAGACAAGAATTAGTTAATTGTCTTTCTTTACCAACATCATATACATTAGAAGAAACAAATGCTTCAGTACTTTTAACAAATGATTTATCAACAAAATATGAAGAAATTGAAATGCAACCAATGAATGATAATCCTATGAAATCATCTTCTCCAACATGGCAAATTCTTCATATGCCACCAGATTGTTGTCCTAAAATAATATCAAAATCTTTTTCTTGTTGTACTAAATGTATACCAAAACTTATTCAAGAACAATGGACATATCTACGTAGTCTAGTTTATCGTTTTGTTGAACATCGTTTTTTTAAATGGTTTATTATTATTAGTATAATAGCTAGTTGTACAACTTTAGTAAGCTGATAATTAGATAAAAACAAAAAAAAAAATTTTTTTCTCGTCCTACAAAGGCTTTAGAAGATGTAAATACACGACAACAACCAACATTTTCCAAAGTATTAGCTATATTCGATAAAATTTTTGCAGTTATTTTTGTAATTGAATTAATATTAAAATTGTTTGCATATGGAATAAAAAATTATTTTACAAATGGTTGGAATTGGTTAGATTTTATTTTTGTAGTTGCTAGTATTCTTGGAATTGTTCTTAATATATTTGATGTAGCTGATATTCCAGTATTTAAATCAATGAGAACATTAAGAGCATTACGTCCATTAAAAACAATGTCAAGATTTGAAGGAATTCGAGTATGAAAATAATTAATTTAATTATTTATTTATTTATTTTTTCAAATTAGATTGCTGTTAGTGCATTATTTGGTGCTATATCATCAATTTTTAATGTTTTACTTGTTTGTCTTGTATTTTGGTTGATATTTTCAATTAGGGGTGTACAATTATTTGGTAGAAAATTTTATAAATGTGTCTATGTTGATACACATGATCGTGTTAATATATCAGAAAATATAACGAATAAAATTGATTGTTTAAATAAAAATTTTACATGGGAAAATTCACGAATTAATTTTGATAATGTTCTTAATGGTTATTTAGCTTTATTTCAAATTGTAAGTTATTTTAATTCAATTTAATAAATAAAATCAAAGATTAACTAATGCTTACAGACAGTGACAGATGTGTTAGTAACGCTCCACACCCCACACGTTGTAGACTGTGACAAATATTGTTGATATACAATCACAGACCGTATATGAATAACATTTCATTATTAGAGAGTTGAGGATCTATGTTTTTGTCGATCCGGACCAGAACTTGCAGCTCCCTACTCGTCAGTACTTGCTTATTGCATTTCTGAAGGATTAGATAAAGTAATGTGTACCAAAATAGATAGACTAAAATAATCTCCCTGTAATTAGCAATCGTAACTATACTGTGCTTAGATATGTGTCGGACCATATTGTTTTGATCTCGGTCTCGGTAACTTCTTTTCTAGCTTACAAGGGAACATTCCCAGGTGTCGGAGTGCTTCTCAGCCGGAGTTTCGCACATCTTGTAGCCTATAGTGAACTGTCTCTATGGTAAAAAAAGTTCGGGTTTCTGGCTTGTTTCTGAGGAGATATCGAGTTCCTAGTGAATTTGCCAAAGCTATACTCTTCGAATTTTGCCCTTAAACTTTGCCTGCATAAAGGCCTCAGCTAGATTGATTTGCGTAAAAAATTTCAGAATCTTCTCAGAAACAAGCCAGAAACCCGAACTTTTTTTTTCCCATAGACACAGCTCACTATGGACTACAAGATGCGCTCCGGCATCTGGGAATGTTCTCTTGTTAGTTCCAGTTGAGAAGACTTTTTTCTGGTAGTCTTGGTTCCGATGATCGAGACCGAAACAATAGTTGGCCACGCACATCTCTAATCATGTTTCACATTTGAATTCTGCAGTGATTATACTAATAACTTAGTTTGTGAATATTTGCATAGTTGTTCTGATAAGAATTAAATTTATACTTTTATTTTGTTCAAATAGGCAACTTTCAATGGTTGGCTTGAAATAATGGCTGATGCAACCGATGCTAAAGAAGTATACAGCTATTTCTATTCGTTTTTTGTTTTTGACATCTATGTTTTTATTTTTATAACACAATATTTTAGATAGATGCTCAACCAGAATATGAGATTAATGTTTATAGCCTTGTTTATTTTGTTTTATTTATTATATTTGGTTCATTTTTAACTCTCAATTTATTTGTTGGTGTTATTATTGATAATTTTAATGAACAAAAACGAAAATTAAGTTTTCTTATTACTTTAATAAGATGACAAAAAAAAATAGTAAAATGTTGTTCTTTTTGTTTTTTTTAATATTTTAGTTAGGAGCTAATGATTCAATAGATATACTTATGACAGAAGATCAAAAAAAATATTATAATGCTATGAAAAAAATGAGTAATAAAAAACCAACTAAAGCATTATCAAGACCAAGAGTAACTTTTTCAAACAGATGAATATATATATATATATTAATTTTATGTTTATTTTAGTTTGCTCTTGCAAGATTTCTTTTTGATTTAACAACAAATCAAAAATTTGATATATTTAAAATGATATGTGTTTTTCTTAATATGCTTTGTATGTGTCTTGAACATTATAATCAAAGTGATACTTATGATCTTGTTCTTGAATATATTGATCATTTTTTCGTTGCAATGTAAGCAAATAATCAATAATAAGTTCGTAATCTGTCCGATGAATGAGTATTCATCAGTCTAAACTATATGGCTCTCTTACATATCACTGAAAATTTCATACACATTGTCTTTTATATCGTACATATGAGTGAATTACAAATTTTATTATACTCTTAGTTTATGTTATTCAACCAAAGTTTTTTCACAGGTTGCGGAATATTAAGCGGGATACGCACTGGTAAATTTAGCTTCTGTTAAATTTAATAATCAAAATTTGCTTTACTCATGGTAGAGACTCAAGTCAATTTAGCTAGCATTACAAGCAGAACAATTAGTTGGGAACAACTCACAATGCATAGTATAGAAACCTGTGAGACAGCCAAAAATTCGCCTCATTGCCGCTGATTCATTGAAGCCCTATCCCGCTCTGTCTCATCATCAAAAAAGCAATTTGGGAGGCGACTGTTTTTCAAACTTATTGAGAATCTATGCTAGACAAGTTCGGTTGTAAACAAGGATGCACCAATCAGTTTCATTCATTTTTGTCTAGATGAAAACAATTCTGATAATTATCTACCTATGAAGGTACAAAACATTCCCACAAGCACTAATCTGAAACAGGAGAATTTCACTATAAGATATCCATAGGAAAAGTTGAATATTCTAGTTCAGTTAGGTACTAAGCCAATCACAAAAAACTTAACACGGAGATTGTCTACGATCTCTATTTTGTTTTGTATTCTTCCATAGAGGATTCTATTCCTCTATATACGCTGACAGAGGCATACGATCATTAGTTTTAAAAGAAAGAACAGTATCGTCAAAAGACGGGGAAGTCGTTCAATCTGGCGGTGCTTTACCGTCTTTTCATCACTGGCAGTTTTAGTGTCGCCCCATAACGGGATGGAGCAGTGTAACACCACGACTCGTGGATCTCTTTTATAAAACTTAATGTTTT